CGTACATGCACATGAGCGTACACACACACACACACACACACACACACACACACACACACACACACACACACACACACACGGTTTCCAAGGTTTGAGACTACTGGGAGAATCTACTAGCCCTGTTTGAGCCCACTCACACACCCACCCACACACACACCCTGAAATACACTGCAATGCAAAAGTATTCAAACCCGTTTAAAATGTTTAAATTGAGCACTACCAAAGACTTCATACAGATCGATGTTGAAGTAGTTCATAATTCTGAAGTGAAAGGAAAAGGATATGTGGTTTTCAGTTTTCTTTTAATTGAAAATAAAAACCTAAAAACCTAAAAATTTTCTGCCACATGTGGCTTTAATTTTAAAGAGGAGCCGTTGTCTTTTAGCACGTCTCGATTTTGAAAACCACACATCATTTTCTTTTACTTCAGAAGTGTGCACTACTTGGTCTATTGGCGATTGTCGGTCTATTCCATAAAATCTATATAAGCGCATTCAGAGATGTTGCTGCAAGGTGGCAAAATTTTCAAATCTTTGAGAGGTATGAATACTGCTGCAAGGCACGGCACACCCAAGCATGCAGACCACGGCCATGCAGGACGAGAAACACTTCCTGGAGTTTTAGCAGACGGTGACCGTGGCTGTGTGAACCATCAGCTGTGCATCTCCCACCATGGACATGCCCCACCAGCTGCAGCTGCTGTTTCACTGCTGCTGTGTTTTTGTTTGTTTGTTTTTTTACTCAGAGATGGCTGACACACACAGGTATGCTGATCCCATTGCTAAAGTTTCACAGTGGGTCAACGACTGTCCTCTCCACATGTTCATGAATAAAACGGTTCAGTGGAGGAGCTTCAGTCTCACTCTTGTTGCTACGGCTGGCCAACCAGTAAGGCCAAGGATGACAGTTTCCTAAAGACTCCAGGGTGATGCAGCTTTGACATCTAACCATCTGCTTTACTCAGTATGAAAACCCGCTTCAGCTTCCTGTCGTTTCAAATTTGCGCTAATCATCTCAGCACCACAGCATTACCTCGCAGGAACTAACCTCAGTTTGACTGTGATGTCAGGATGATCGTTAAAAGTGAAAAACGTGATGAACGGCTGGGATACTGCATGCAGTGGGCTGTTAAACATCCTTACATTTGATGCTTGTCTTGGTCATTTCATTCATTACCTCACAGCACTATTTTGTTGTTCTACATTATATTATCAGAGTACTTTGCAAAGACACGGCTCACCAGTGAATGCTTTGCAACGCCCTGCTCCTCTGATTACGGCTGCTTTGACTTCTTGCCACCCGCCTTTTTCTCTGCACAGGGTAATGACATCATAGCAGCAGCCAAGCGGATGGCTCTGCTGATGGCTGAAATGTCTCGGCTGGTGCGTGGCGGGAGCGGAAACAAGCGAGCGCTGATTCAGTGCGCAAAAGACATCGCCAAGGCCTCGGATGAGGTGACGAGACTGGCTAAAGAAGTGGCCAAGCAGTGCACAGACAGACGCATCAGGACGAACCTGCTGCAGGTAAAAAAAAAATACAGATAGGCCCAAAATTATTCATACACTAGTGCAGATTTGACTCAGGTTTAAAGTCTTTTTTTATATATATATATTTACTAATATTTAGACTAACTTACATTTAGTATTAATGTAAGTTGTTTAACGTTTTTGAGTGGAGCAACCAGAATCCAGACTTGAATTTACTGGAAGATCTGCATGGGAAGCTAAAGATTAGGGTTATGGTGAGGAGGGCTTCGAATCAAGGTACATCAGCAAAACACCTGGTGAAACATGCAGAAAGCTGCTCAGATGTTTGAGTGTTGTAATGGCAGTACGATTTTTCTTTTGACATTTGAGGGAAAAATATGAATAATTTTCAAAATTCGTATTTGAACTAAAATATAAATAAATGTTTTCTAATACTCCTTTGACCAGATCTCCTAGATTAATCTTAATCTGAAACTGTGACTGCTGTAGTTTCTAAACGATCTCCGTTTGTGCAGGTCTGTGAACGAATTCCCACCATCAGCACTCAGCTGAAGATCCTTTCCACCGTCAAAGCTACCATGCTGGGACGAACAAACATTAGTGAAGAGGAGTCAGAGCAGGTAGCACAAGAATGACACGTCTGCACTTCAGGAAAACAGTATTATCCTGTTACATATTCACTGACAGCTCCTCGTTCGTTTAATTCCCATTCCAGGCCACGGAGATGCTGGTCCACAATGCCCAGAATTTGATGCAGTCCGTAAAGGAGACGGTGCGAGAAGCAGAAGCTGCCTCCATTAAGATCCGCACAGATGCAGGATTCACCCTCCGCTGGGTGCGCAAGACGCCTTGGTACCAATGAACTTACCTGCCCTCGCCGAGTAAAAGTAGCAACGGCCGCTCTCATTTTGAGCAGGCGTATCGAGGGGAAACTGCAGGATTTTGAGCCATTCTCCCCTGTAGTTTTAGGCAGGAGTCTTTGATTTGTTACCATGCAGGTTTCATTTATGGGTGGGAATTTAGCTTGGCTCGCTTTGGTCCTCAACTGTGGAAACACACAGGTCTATCAGGAGACTTTTTAATATATATTTTTGGTATTTTGGGTTATTAGACTTTATCTAAATCCTAGGTATATATTTTTTGCATGACTCATTTTCTATTTTCTAACAGCAGATTCTGACATGGAGACTCTCAACGCTTAGAGGATGTTTGAAATTTGCATTGTTTTTCAGTCCTGGTTTTGTAATGTATGTTGTATATACAATAATTGTCTGCTTCATAGAGGATTCACCAAGTTTGAGACTAAAATGAAGAGTCTTGAGTGAGCTTCATGTTTACTTTCAGTCATCTGAAAATTTATGAAATCAACAGAGGTGCATCATCACTGTTGCCACTGGTGATGTTTATATTTCAGTAACGAAAAGATCTTGTGGGTTTAAAAATAAAAAAATGGTTATTAAAAGTTAGTAACATCTAAAAAGGTGGCAGTATTGATTTGTGAGAAAGTGAAGTTTAGCTGATTAACATGCCTTTACTTTTATGAACTTTTACATTTAATGATGCCAAAGGATTTATTTTGCATTATTTACAAGTCCCTTTGAATTGTTTGAACACTCAAAATCCAGGTTATTATAAAAAAAAATAATGCAGTTTCATTAAAGATGCTGTAGTAATGGTTGATGTTTGTTACTAGCAAAAAAAAACTCAAAAAACTAAGCTTTTTGAATGTTTTCTCTGCTTTGCATTTTTTATCTAATTGTAGTTCTTTTGTGGCTGCATTCTGCAACAGTTGAACTGTTTGGGATTTACAGTATCAGAGCAAACGTAGCTTTTAGCCGTCCCAATCTGAGTTCTCTGATGCAATTTTTTTTTTTTCTTTTTTTTTTTTTTTTTTAGATGACCCCGGTGGTTTTGAGAAGTAGTTCTGTAATAACCAGAGCAACAAACTATATTTTTTAAAGATTTAAACATTTAAATAATCGTTAGTGGTTTAAGTTTGTTAATTAAAAGAAGCTGAAAGAAAAAACTGATGTCACATACAGACCCAGTCAGAAGTTTACTTGCACTCATCAGTATAAATGTCATTCTTGCTCTTGACAATTTATTTGATCTAGTTTTGTTTTTTGTTTTTTTTGTTTTTTTCAGACAACTTTAATGGCTTTTAAGATAAGAATCAACTGCACAAGCTTGAGTCTATCTTGCACTCTTTTTCTTTTTAAAAGCCCCACCTTACCTCCTCCAAACATTCTTCTTTTTGTGCCAAAACTGCTCAGTATTTGTCTCCCTAGACTTATTTTCTTCAGAAATCATCAGGCTTCTTTCCTCTCAGCTGATGTAAAACTACGGTGGTGTTACAAGATGTTTTTGGCTTGAGGGTTCCTGTTTTTTTGGGAGGTTTTTTTTAACCTCCTTACCAGTTCCCTGGATGCGACCATGGCAGCTGAAGAAAGATCTTTAAATCTGCTTTATGTATTTATTAAATTAATCATTAAAAGACAAAAAAAAAAAAAAAAAAAAAAACAAACATGGCATTTATGCCCAGGATGAGTGTATGGAAATTTCCAACCAGAACTGTACTTACAACTAAAGGAGTAAATGCATATTTTCATTCCATTAACAAATTCTTTTAAAAAAAATAAAATAAAAAACTGGGTGGGTAAATGTACATGTCTCATTGAGACAGTGTGCGTGTGTGTAGTCTCATTTTAACACTATTACTGAGCCGTCCCTGGTATGATTAGGGATGAAGTTCTGAATTGCAGCACAGACTGTTACCCGTTTTCTTTCTTTTTGGGGGGAAGAGGCGTACTGTAGTCGTCACAGACTCGGCGTGTGGAGCTGTACGTCGTAGACGTTAATCCACACTCTGAATGTACTCCGATAGCCTGTAGCCCTGCCAACATCTGCTGTGCCTTGAAAGAATAAAGACTATAATAAAAACAAGAGTCGACATGTTTTTAATGCATAAAACAACCGAGGTCAGAAAAGCGGCGCTCCTCTCTGCCTCCGATGTCAATTTGCAACGTTTCCTCACTTCATCTCTGAATAACATCACTAGCTGCATTTCAGAAGATGCGTTCAAAATATAACAGATGAGTCATGTTAACAAAAAAAAATCTAGATTTGTGGCACATGATTGGAAGGTAATTTATTACATTTTCTTCATCATATTCAACATTTGAGCTTTGGACAAATGTCTCATTTAGATTTTGGGATAAAAGTTTACACAAAAATAGCAGGAGAAAATTCAGCATGTAGAAAGGCACCGCAAAAAGGATCTTCAAACAAAAAGCTAATCTGGCAGCTTGGATACAAAGACAACAAAAAACACACAAGGAGGAGTATAAAGATTTTACAATAAGGCATCTGGTTTAGAGGTTCTTACATTATCTTCTTAAATAGGATATTTTTCTAATAGTGATTAAAAATTCTCTGCTCAGAGAAAACAGCTGGATTCAACAACATGTAGTTTCTACAGTTACTCCCTCTCCCCCAAAAAAACACCTAAATAACTAAATCGGACCCACACCATCCCAATGTCACATTTTTACTGTGTTCTTTAAATAATACAGTTTTCAACATACTTCCCTCAAGTCTCCTGAGCTTGCAGCTTGTGCTGTAGTGTGTGTTTACAGAGCTCTTACAACTCCTCTCACAAGGCCACTGAATTAAACGCTGAATGTGTGCAGACATATCTGCATCGCAACCACTCAGAATGTAGGCAGTACATACATTTTTCCCCAAAGTTTCATCTGAAATTATTATAATAAAATCCGCTAACTAGTATCACGTAGAAACCTTTTCAAAGGTATTCCTTCAAACTCTTAAGGCAGCGCGCAGACTGTAATGTTCAAGTTCAAGAGATGTCGCGTAAAGCAAGGCAGGGAGCTTGTTTTTAAAGCAAAAAAATATTCCCCTTCTGCAACATTTTGAGCATGTTAGATAAAGAAATACGCGTGCAGCAAATGGAAAATTCTCCATATGATGCGTTACATCTAAACCCAACAATCAACAGAAATCACATTGATTTTAAGGCTTCCCTTTGCAGGTCAAAGTTATTCAGTCATGTAAATTTAAAATACAATACCAAGCATGGTTTACGCAGTGTAATAAATAGCTGTTAGAATGCTGAGTTCTTCATTATTGACCATGCAGATGTAGATAGTAAGACTTGTCGCTGACTCGGCAGTGTGGTAACCCTCGCTCCCCTGTTTGGTGCATCGGAATGCTGAGCTTTCCAGCCTCGCTCAGGTCCGGACCTGGAACTTTCCCGCTTTAGTCACATATTTGACCCCTTTAAATGGTTTGTACTTCTCTCCGTACATGTCCAGACGACTCACTTTGAGACCTGGAAAGAAAAAAAAAAAAAAGAAAAAGAGGATGGGAAGCCAAATTAGGAATGAATTTACTGCTACTTCAACCTTTAAAATCCTAAAATTAGTTCCATGGAATACTGAGTGTTTGCTTATTATAACATTTAGGCCCTTTGATGCATCATTTTCTTTCTATAATGAAAAACAAAGACTCACTTCTGAGGCTCTAAAGACAACAATGTCCACTTCCTAAAATCTCCTGCAAAATTATTGCATGGTAATTTTTTTTTTAACTTTCCATGAGACAGTCTTTCAGAACTACCTAATCTTTAAATATTCATATTTATAATGCCTATTATTATTATTATTATTATTATTATTATTATTATTTTCATAGCTCCACTGTTTAATATGGTATTAAATAAGCAAACAAGTAATTTTCCTAAGTCCAATTTCCTAAGTGAAATTTCAGGATGAACCTAAACTTCGTTAAAACGATTACAGGTTCACTTAATGTCAGCTTCTTTAAACATTTGAACGCACTTCTAACTTTTCAACGTTTCACTTCTTCTTGCACAACTTGCTGTTCTTTAATAAGGAGCTGAACAAGAAAATTCACAACAAGATTTAAACACCCCTGTGTTCATTACGGTGTTCACATTCTGACATCATCATCTGTCACCATTTAGACACATAAAAATGTTAAGCTTCAGTAAAAGCTCAGTTTTAGTTCCTGCTGATCTTTGATCGTTACCTGATATGGCCAGCTGTTGTATCTGCAGACCAATGTTGATCGAGGGGTTCTCTTCAGGCTTCGGGGAGCCCGTCTGAATGCTGATGCTTCCTCGCAGGTTGGGGAGCTTCTGGGGGTTAAGTTTCCCGACGTCCCAAAGGACCACCTACCACAGAACGAGTGTTTGAGGTCAGGGTAATACAACAAAACGCCGCTTTTATTCTCACCGCCAGGTTCTAACATCTGCACTGACCAGCCGGTGGTGTATATAAAAATGCTTCACTTGCCCTCCACAATTACTAGCATGCCTGGCAAAGACATGTCTAATGTCTTTTGATATATTCCCATTTTACTGCAACAGGATAATTATATTCTGACTAAGGCTTTATTTAGGAGTGCATTTATTTATGCATTGAGGGAAAAAAAAATATTATTTTCAAGAAAAAATAAACAGTGCCATGTACTAACAATGTTCCCTCTAAAGTAGCACCCTCACTCCAGAAGGCACATGGGGACTTCTCTACATACTGACCCTTTGTTTCACCCCTAGCTCATTTTCAGCATTTGTTATTAAAAAGCTTAATCTAGTTTCAACTCATAACACATAAAACTCCCAATAGAATTTTGAATACCTGTGTTCATAATCGGACAGATAAAAAAGGGGATGCGTTTGAGTTCCTACCAGCTTTTACTTAAAGTATAGCATCTATTGCTGGCATATTAAAGTCAGTTACCCGTCATGCATCACTGGTGAGGAAGGCCATGCTGGCTGATTACCTTGGTTGTTAAGTCAAAGGTGTAGGTTCCCTGAGTGGCTGTGAGATTGACGCTGAGCACAGATTTAGGCATTGGAATAGTGACCGTCAAGTTCTCCACCGACTTCCCCATGGTCTGCTTGGGCCCAATTGTGATGTCCAGACGACCACAAGAACCCGTCTCCAAGAAGCTGATGTTCTGCTTCACGTACACCGGGATGGCTACGAGACTGGGACAGAAAACGCACACAGAGCAGGCCTCCGTCAGGAATGAGTCAACGCTGATTAGCACCAGGCTTTCTACTGGATTCACACATGAGAGTATATTTAGAGAATATGCTCTTATACACATTCTCCAGCCAACCTGGCTGACCTTGAGAAGAAATAAAAAAATCATCCTCTATATCAGGGCTGCTCAATTACATGTTAAATGGTTTACTACAAGTGCTGCGTTCAAGAATTGTCATTTTTACTCTAACTGTTCAAAGCTGAAAAGACATTGAACAAAATACCAGGAGGTGTAATTTTGGCAAAAAGTGGTTCCAAAACGCAGTAATTTTTTATTTATTTTTTTATTTTTTTTAAACTTCACCATAATGCAGTTTGAAACAAAACATGGAAAACTCAAGATGGTTTTGTAAGTCAATGTACAACATCTGTGCTTACTTTTGAGAGCTGACGTGATACGACATGAGCCTGAAGTTTCCGTCTGGCGGGATGAAAGACAAGACGCGCTCCGACTCCCAGCGCTTAAAACGCACGCACGGGTGGAAGCTCACGTCATCAAGGAGTCGTGGATTCTTAAAAGATTCGAAAAAACTCGGTTAATGGCACACCGTGTCAAATACAACAACTAACGTATGCTGAAATAAAATGGACCCACCATGAAGGACAGGGTGAGATCAGGCATCCCAGTGAGCTTCACACAGGCCTCCACCACACCCTGAATCTCTGCAAAGACAGTCGTACCTGCAGACCACACGATTCTAGTTACATTCTGAAATGCATTAAAACCTTTAGCAAATATATTCCATGATATCGTTGAATACGTTTATTTGTTTTACCCGATTTGTCCAGAATGGCATCGATTTCCTCTATCACATCGAAATAAGCCTCATTATTGGTGTATTTAACACCTGCCCGCCTCCAGGGAACGTTAGACAGCTGGCCTGTAGGCAACGTTCCCCCGACGTTGCTGCCTCCTGGAAAACACAGGACGCAATTAGGAATAAAGACTTTACATATAGTTTGGCTCTTGCAGCCTCAGCTGACCTCTGATTACCTGTGAGCGTATTGACGACCGACCGCAGGATGGTCGGAGGCCTTATCATCTCCTTGAGGACGTTGGACTCTGTGGCCAGAGGAAACCCGTTGTCCAACATCTCCTCCAGAAGCTCGTAAACAGTCACCGTGTTCTCCTTGATCACAACCTCTGAGCAGTCCCCAAAGTAATCCTGTGGATAAAGAAGAAAAATGTCTCACCGAGGTCAGAACAGCCTTCTCGGCTCCAGGGGTCAACATGTGGAATTTCTTTCTGGCAAAACAGAAGATTAACTCTGACTGGTGTCTCTAAAGTAAAACTGAAGCAGGTTTTTCAGTTTTTAAACTCTGGGTCTTAATGGACCTTGCTCCATATTCTTGTATAACTATTTCATTCTGTAAGAAACTGAGGTTTAAGTTTTCACTAACTGTAAGGAATAACCATTCAAATTGACAGAATTAAGTCACACAAAGCCGACAATGATAGTGGTACGTTTGCAGAACAATTCCTCTTTTCTACGCCAAAACAGTGCTTCATTGAAAAAAAGGAGAAGCACAACAAAACAATTTGATGCATCATGAATAAAACCACATTCCCGTGATTCCAATCAGTTCTCCTCTGCCTGCAGTACAACGACTTGGCCCTTATCGTTTGGAAAAATGCAAGATATCCCTTGTACATATAGAAGTGAAGGCATGAGGAGTTAGTGGTATCGAGGTATAACATCGTTTTAGCAATTTATGGTTTTAAAACCACTAAATTGTTCTGTAACATTGTTCCTATGTTGGAGAGTCCTTTAAATAAAATGACAGAGAAAGATCTGGAGTGACATGAGTTTTCTTCAGCTTTATGGCATATAGAGAAACATAAGAACTATCCCTTCCCCCACCTGTTGCTGTGTACTATTTGGATCTATTCCCCAAACCCATCAGAACCTCCAGGTCTTCTGTTAATGCTTAAAATGAGACATAAAACTCACAGTGAGGCGTTACGTTATTTATTTATATTATCCCTCATCTTTGGAACAGTCTTCCTTAAGATCACTTTTGGTATTTATTATCGTTTGTTTTTGTTTTATTTTACAATCTTTGCACATTTCAGTATTTGCTTCCAGCGCTGTCAAATTGGACACAAATTTGTTTAATCAGTTCTTCATCCTTAGTAATTATTTGATTTGTCTACCTATTTTTTTTTAATATACTGAATATCATCATTGATAATATGTTATTTACAGTATGCTAGTCCATCTGTTTTAAATGTCTTGAATACACTTGTAGACATGAAAAATGCTCTATAATAGGACTGATAATGCTCACTAGCCAGCTGGGTGATTATAACTGTAAAACCTGGTATGTAAATAAATGCATACTTTAATTTAGCAGCAAGAATAACCTTTGCTTTTTCACTCAGAATAAAAGTAATTAGCTCATGTTATATATTTTTGTGGAAACCTAGTGAAACTATAGTATTTTCTCCTCACAATCAATACACATTAGAATCTAATGCCAGTCCGTTGCTGCAGATGTGTTTGCAGTTGTAAATGTGTGTAAATATTTTTAATAAATACACGGCTAATGCAAGGCAAAAAGACGTTTTTCAAATGCAACACAGGAAACAAAGAGTGCAGGGATAAGGATTCCAGGTAAACATTTGCATAACAACCTCCACCATAAAACCACCGTGTAACACTCAGCTAACATCTGTTGTCATCTGTTTAAGATCATAAAAAGGTGTGGATTGATAGTTTTGTTATGCTTCTACTTTTTTCAAATAATAAAAATCCTAAGACAAAAATACTGCGGCTTCATGACATTATCACAAAACTTAACACAAAAAACTGTATAACTGATCTATACATTTTTATTTTTTTTTTAAAATAGAGCAGCAGCAACTATCCATTCTGCTGCAAATAAAGAAAACAAATTAATTATTACAGGTATGATCAATTTAAATAGTTTAAACTCCCACCTGAAAAGTATCTGCCACCCTGTGCAGGAACTCAATGACAAAGAGTGGGGGGACTTCAGTCTGGGTAACTGAGAGGAAGAAGAGTTTGCCCCTGTAGATAGAGATGAGATAGTGGTGTGGGGTCTGCAGCACTGGGGCCACATTCTCTGGGTCCCCTGCCTTCTCCTTGGCCTCCAAAAAGTAGTCACACACACTCCTGCTAATGACACTCTTCCAGTGCTTCTCCAGGAAGATGTCTCCAGAGTGGCTGATCAGAAACAGGCTGTTGATCATCTCAGCAGGAACAGTGATGAGGTGGTTGTTGTTGGTTTGCTACCGAAAAAAATTCAATAGACCAACTCAGAATCAGCAGACTGACAAGCATAACTTGTTCGCATGTGTTTTATAGTAACTTACTCTAATTAATACCTGCAATACCTGCAAAATGTTATTATTTCAAGTTGTTAGCCAGCTTTACTTCCTGTTAAGTCAAATTAACTTTCGCATCAGTTGACTTCTCGGTCTGGTTAGCAGTCGGACTTCGCACACATTTACCAGCTTTACTCTTAAAAACAAATTAATCGGACACTTACAAGTGTCATGATTATTCTAAAGCGTTAAACATAATATATTAAAATGAAAGTTGTAAGATTGTAAAAAGTTTACCTGCTAACTGCAGCTGATTGTGCTGACAAGATTTGATGGAGACGCCTGCAGATGTTTGCCCACGTAAACACAACTGGGTCACGTGTAAAAAAAAAAAGTCAAAGTCACAAAATAAAGCCTATAAAATTTTTTTAAGTGTTCAAATATTTCTATGGGTCTTTTACAGCTTGGAAAAACAGTGAGTGTAGTAGACTAACTACCTTAAAGACTTTTTTCACCTCTTTTATAATCAGGCACAATTTGTGGGCGGCTATAACCCGGCGCCTTGCGTTTAGCTGTGGAGAGATTATTCCCTGAGTAAAGTCTTGCAGGTACTATTTGTAGTTCCAATAGTGGTAAACACTTCCTTTTCTTTCAGGGAAATTCACAGACTTTGTACCATGTTATCTTTTTAAGGCTATTTTTAAGTAGTTACATTATTTTTAAGCTTATAAACTTAAAAATCAGTGTGATAAGAAGGGGTCAAACGACAACGTGTACGGTTATATTATTATGGTACCTTAATAATTACAATGTAGTTTTAATGCTCTTCTGATCTTGAACAAACTTCCAGAAAACTGAAATAAAATGCTTAAGCATTAATTTCATTTAAATCAAGATTAAAACTCACTTGTTTAGAGAGGGGGTTTAAATAGTTCTAGTTATATTAACTGGAACATTCATTTCAGTTCCCAACTTTGTCTTACTTTCCTTGATTGTGTCACTGCAAGGTACTTTTTCATTATATAATTGTCTTGGTGTTGAAATGAGTTATACAGATAGAATTATTTTTTCCTAAAACGTGATTTTATTGCATGTATAATGGTTCTATTACTTTGTGAGAGTTTACTAAATTATTTCATAGTCCTGCTGCAGGACCCTAAAGATTGTCAAAATCCACTTGTCACTGAAGAAAACAATTGAATGGGAAACAAAACACGTAAAAAATGAGCAAACATGCACAAATCTAAAAAATAATAAATTATTTAATAAATAAATATAGCAATTCTTAAGTGAACAAATACATTTTAACAACAAACCTCACATTGTCAGTTAGTGGAGAAGTTATAAATGACTGTGGATGTGACACGAAGATTAAAACATACGAAGACACAGTAAAATCAATTCTTAACCTTTGCATAACTATTAACTTAAATTATGTATTTATTTAACACGACGCAACTTTTGGCTATTGATACCTGCGAGTCTGTACTCGGGGTTTAAATTCAACACATACATTGCATGACCGCTTTTCGTAAGGTGATTGCAACGTGCTCAGCCTGACCAGCCATGGCTTCTGATGAACCCAAAGCAAAGAAACCCAAACTTTCCGAGGATGAAAAGACAGAGTCTCCGAGCAAAAAGGCTGCTGCCGAACTAAGGTGACTAAAATCCGCTGTGACGGCTCCTTTGTTTTTCAGCAACAGGGGACGAAACAGCGTTTACCCGAGTCGCGATTTGTGCGCCAAATCAATTGTTGTGTAAAGTGTTACCCCAGGTGCAACACTTTAGCCATTTATATAACGGCTTTGCCCATTTATGCAGTGGTGTCTCGAGTCTAATGTTCCTCAACCAACGCTGTGGAAACAGTCCTCCTGCGAAGTGTCTTTATCTTGTTATTCTTTAACACCGACAGCTAAGATTTAACCATTAGCCGCCCCTTAAGTGCAACAGTGCTAGCTGGGAAAATATTTAACCTTAGTTCAGCATGACCAGCTTCAGAAATACCCGGACCGGTGTCCTGGAGACTGTCCACGCAGGATCCATCCTGCGCCAGCCTCCAAAGACAACAAAGGACAGCCAAGTGATCACGCGGTCTGCATTGGACAGTGTTATCATTCTTCTTTCTCCCCCCGTTTCACTATGAAGAAATCAGATCAGAACCTAATTCATATAAGCCGCAGTAATCGGGACGCTTCTCATGTGGGGGAAACGAAGCTTAGAGCGGTGCAGTAAAACATAGCAGAAGTCTGAGAAGCAAGCCAATCATCGGGCAGAGGCAGGTTGCCGTGGCCCTTCCTTCTTCAGATGCCTCCAATCAGTCAGTCCCCAGTAGGAGGAGCTGTAGATGCAGGGGAAAGGAATCGATCCGCCCGCACGCTGAGCTGAGCTCAAATTGTTTTTTTCCCCCCCAAAGCTTAGTCTTTTCAGAACCGGTTTTTTTTTAAAGGTTGCTCAACAGGTCTGTCAGTGTCTTGCTGGTGCACACATAGCGGGGGAGAAGAACACCATGTCTTCTGTGAGGTAAGAGCAGACTGATGGAGGTACAACCAGCAGAGCAGATCTGGGCACTGGGTTAGTGTAATTGGCTGCACAAGCCCATTAATCATCAGACTGCATACTACCAGATGGGTGTGTTGAGGGAGATGATAGTAAGGGTGCGGTGTCCTCTGGTTTAGATGTCAATTTCAGATGTTGATGCGTTTCTCTGTAGCTCTGGTGACCAGTTCCTTGCGTTTGGTTCCTGAAAAGCTTCCATGTGCATCAGAGAGGCTTCCTGGGAAATATGGCAGCACATGTTCATATGGAGCGAGCATCTGTCAGTGACACCACTTGGCCATCCGCAGTTTTCTCACAAACACCGACAAGTTTATGGAAACGGCGAGTACGCTCAGGCTTGCAGGAGCGAAAAAAGCGGCATTACTATTCTGACTTTCTGTATTACTCATATCCTCATTCCCCCTGGTCTGCTTACTCATAATAAATCCAGGGGTTTTAACTTGTTAGTTCTGTCTGTTCTCAGAGAGTAGAGGTTGCACCATAACCTCATAACCTTTCTTTCTTTCTGTAATAGGTTACCCAAGTGCTTAACAGGTTTTAGGTGCTGGTGTTATTACATGATACAAAGTGCAGACGTGCAGTGTAACTGTTTATATATATATATTTTTATTTTATTTTTTTTTTCATTTTCTTGTCTGTTGGCATCACAAGACCATGAGGTTATCAGATGGTCTGCCCCTGCGGTTAGTTTCGTTGTCTTGGAAAAATGCAGAAATATGCAGTTTACTTCTGTCGGTGGACTGGCTCGCTGCGAGTGTCATAATATAATTGCATGCATGGTTGCCCAGATCCTCACCACTGACCACATGCATCTCTTTTTTGTGTGTGTGTGAATGCTGTTTAAACATCTGCTTTATTTGCGCTATTTCTGCTTTTCTCGTGTGAAGTTACAGTTTTTGCAAAAGTAGTACTGCACACTCAGGGTTTTCTTTTTCTTCTAAATGTAAAGAAAAACAATGTCTCTCCACTCTATACTGAGTTCTGTAGATTATTTTAAGATTTAAGATAACTATTTAAAAAATGTAGCTGCTGTTATATGAAATAAACATTAATTTAGGAAAATGTTTTGAGTCCATTATTTAAAAATTACATGAATATAATAGATATCATGCACATTTAATGTATATAAATACTTAAAATAATCATTAATAAAAATAATTCTAACAATAAATGTCTTTCAGCAGCATATTTTAATAATTTAAATAAAAAAATTTAAATAATGTAAGATTACTACATATGAATAGTGTTATTTTTAGATTTGTTAAATTATTTATCAAGCTTTTCTCTCTCAAAGACGGTTCTGTCTGAGAAGCCTTACGGTTTGTTAATCAGCGGGTAAAATTTCATCCACGTTTCTGTTTTTCTTGCAGCTCCAACTTGCTCTTTGGGATGGGAAACCCCTTACTCGACATCTGTGCTGTTGTTGATAAAGACTTCTTGGACAAGTAAGTTTAAATAATAAAACGATACAAAAAAAGAAATCTATTTTTCCGTGCAAGTGGTTTTTATCGATTTGTTGCTGCAAATGTTCTAAGTAGGCAAAACAAAATGAGTACGCAGTAAGCGACTCCAGATCAATTGCCATCCTGTGTTTTGTTATCGGAGAGGTCACGGGGAGATTATAGAGGAAAGAGATTAATTTAGGTTTGTGATCGATAAGGAAGGAAGCCAATAAGCACAGAAAAAAGCAGCTGATCCATTGCTTTAATGCATCCTGAACATAAATTAGCCGACAGTCCATGGCTCTTTGTTTCGTATCCCTGCAAAATGAATTACTCTTATCAGTCCTGCAGTAATCCAGAGACTCATCTGAGTCTTGAATCTGCCCTGAGGACTTGCTCTCTCGGTCTCCAGTGGACCAGATTTAACAGGGCAAAGGGCTGCTTTGGTTTCCAGCTCCGTGTCCAGTCAGAAGCCCCTTGCGTAAACTCCTGGATTAGAGCTGAACCGGCCAGCCTCAGGTCTAATTTGGCCTCACTAAAGCAGGACTAAAACTGCCCTTTAATCCCCAGCAAACCTTTGTGTTTCTTTCAAGGAAATCGCTCTCTGATTAATACTGTTGGATGTTTTAGGAAATGTTTTTTTTTTTTTTGCAATCTTTCACAATAATTAATATGGTATTCCTTCCCTCCCCTTTTTTTTAATCATCTGCAGGTACTCTCTGAAGCCCAATGATCAGATCCTGGCTGAGGACAAGCACAAAGCACTGTTCGTACCTCCTGTGTTGCAACATTTACTGTAGAGTACCTGTGATATTAGCGCCACCACACATGTGAACTTCTGTTGGGGTTTTTTGCAGCGAGGGGAAAAATGCGTCCGAAATCATCCCGAGTTTGCGCCTCTCTGTTCTGGAGAGGGCCAGCCAAAACAGGCACACACAAGAAAGCTGCTACCATTGACCTCTGTTCCTGCGCAGACGGCCAATGGTAGCGCAGCGAGCTGAGCAGAGTGAGACGGTCTCGTCCAATGACAGAGCGGGACACTTCACCTCCCCAGTCCCGCCGAGACCAGAGCCACAAAGCAAACATTTAACAGCAGGAGATAAGAGAGCAGAATGTGAGAGTTTGTTCACACTGATCTGGACCGGATCGCCCTCTTTTTGCTCCTTATGAATTTGAAATTTTGTTGATAATCATTTCAGATTTAAATCTTTTGGGGGATAAATGATTTAAATTGAATCCTCTCTTTCTTCTATGGATTTGTAGAGCAGAAGGTATTGCTCTTTGCAGGTAGACACCTGCTTGTTCACCCTGTCAGACTTTCTCATAATTATCTCTGAGAGCAACATCATATTGACTATATATATTTATTTATTTTTTACAACAGACAACTAAATGTTTTTCCCCCTGTGCTTCATCGCTCCCCTTCTCTGACCCCTCACTTCCTCTCAGGACCTTTACCAACAGTGGGGTTGTTGCTGTTCCTAATAATATATCTGCGAACACACACTTGACAGCTCGAAGGCGACTGTTCTTCTGCAGGTCCGGCAAACTAAAATCTATGAGTCAATTAAACAGGCTTTAGTCCAAAGGGGAAAACAAGGTCGCACGGCTGCGATGCATTACGCAACAGACAAAAATGACATGGATTGTATAATCAGCGGTCAGTCATGCGTGTGTTGTGTATTTATTTTGAGAAAAGTGTGACGCTGCTTTCTGCAGAGATGCCATGTTACAATGTTCCTGGCCTTCCAGTCTCAGCTGTTGTCAGAAAAATCTACAAAGGGACACAGACGAGTCATTAGTATGTTATAAAAAGATCTGAAATGCTTCAATCAGAGACATCGTCACTGGTTTTAGTTTTGCTGTGGCATAAAGCTGACATCAGACACCAGCCGATTTCTCTTTACTAGTCTTCAACTTGGGTAAGACAAGAAAACATTCCAATAAGGCATTAATGTGATCTTAAATCAGAAAATTGCTTCTCACCTAAAGTTGCTCAAATCTACAGTAATGACCATAATGTACTGTTGGCAAAAGGGGCTGGACGGATCCATGTTTGTTTGTCAGATAAGGGAGGTACAATAAAAGTTTCTAAAGGTCACAATTGGAGAACTGCTGTAATTATCTCAGTAGTAGACTGTGCTACTTTAGTCTTTTCAGCCTTTTCTCCATTAGAGCATCTTTAACCGCTTCTGCCCTTCGCCAGATTCATCTCCATTAGTAGATCCTATGTGGCTCTTCTCTGTTTTTGTGCGTGATGTACGGAAACGTTTTTGCTCGACAGCTGTCCGCATTCGTTGATTGGCTTGTGGTTTACGTCACTGAAAACCCGAAACAACCTTTCTCTTCTAGATTAGCAGTGGACCGGCAAACGATGCCGTTTGCTATCAGACATAACTATGATTTTAGCGCCAGGAGCGTGAACCGTTGGACCGGAACGATCTAGCAGCGCTGCAAGCAGAGCGTCTCTCAGAAGAACGAGCAGCAATAAGACAGAGAGGCACAGTTCAGCTCTGGTCAGCCTTACGTCACAGTTACATTTTTGTGCTGACCAGCGTGAAGATCTGAGACTACAGATTTGGTGTGGTTTGGATTTTTTTTTAAAAACAATTCCATGCAAGGATATTGGTTTACATCTATTAACTGCGTTACCTAAACCCAAAAGGATGCATGTTTAAAAAAGAAAATAATCAGCTGATCTCAATTGTTTTCATTAGATTTTGACCAGCAGTGGATTTCTATTAGACAAAATTAAATATCTATATCTGGGCTTAATTATGATATTGTGATAAACTGAGGTGTTTATGTTTAAATAACTTTCATAGATAGATTTATTACTACAGCAAATAATTTTCTCATATTATATCTTTTTGTTGAAAACTTAGTAGATTAAAACATCTCCCAGATCTCATTTAAAGATTTGTCTTGGCACCAGAGATGAACCGCATCGTGGTTTTACGGGTCGATGCCGATATACTTAGAGGTCTGATTAAGGCTGATTCCAATTGTCTCTCTAAAGATTATGACCTATATGAGTTAAATGTGAGTGGCATGAACCACAAAAGAAGGAAAACGTGCTGCAGGTTTCTGGATAGACGTAGAAGTTTGAAAGGATTAGGAGATAATCTCTGTTTATGAAGCAAAACCTTGTCCTGATTTTTAATAGGCAGAGAAAATAAATATAGTGCTTTATGATGTATTTACAGAATAAAAATGGGGCGGAAAAAATTTTTATTTTTCAATATTAAAATCTGCATTGATATAAACATCATGTTATATTGGTTACTCTTGCTTTGATGAATAAATTCAGATTTTTTATTTTCACTTGTTTAGATTTGATGAGCTTGTAAAAAAATTCAAAGTGGAGTATCACGCCGGTGGAGCCACTCAGAACTCGATTAAGATCGCTCAGGTCAGTCACACACACTCCGAAGCCACAAATGTTCGTTTCTGCGTGAAGACTTTGATTGGCCGGTTGCTAATGTAAGATGTTGCGGCGACCCACAGTGGATGATCCAAGAGCCCCACAAAGTCGGCACGTTCTTCGGCTGCATTGGGAAAGATAAGTTTGGAGAGATCCTCAAGCAGAAGGCGGCGGAGGCCCATGTGGACGGCCATTACTACGAGCAAGACCAAGAGCCCACGGGGACGTGCGCTGCTTGCATCACCGGAGATAACAGGTCAGTGATTAAAAGGAGAGTTGTAAAGTGTGTTAATGATGAATGTCTCATTATATTGTTTCTGTCTCCCAGGTCTTTGGTAGCTAACCTAGCAGCTGCTAACTGTTATAAGAAGGAGAAGCATTTAGACTTGGAAGAAAACTGGGAGCTGGTGGAAAAAGCTAAAGTCTACTATATTGCTGTGAGTTTATTAACCTACAAAGATTTTATTTTTATTTTTTTTTAGAGCTTCACAATTAGGTCACTTAATGCCTAATGTTGAGTGTCTAATTTGTATGAGTGCTGCTGCTGCAAACTGAAGACAGATATCCACCCATGCAAAGGCAGAATTCCTTTAAATATGGTGCAGTCAGACACCGTAGTTCCAGTACCTAATACAGGCTTAATCACTGAATTAAAACCAGCTTTACCTCAGAGGAAGTTTGTAGTAATCTGCATATCTTTAATAATTAAAGACGGAGCGATAAGTCTCTTGAGGAATAACATCCAAACGCAGCAGCTGTGGAGCTTCTGCTCCACTTAGACCTAAAATTAATGAATACTCAGCAGTCCAGAGTAGCTGAGATCGCTTTAATCTCTATGTGCATAAATGCATAAATTTTTAGTTAACCTCTTAAAATCTCTTCAGAAAGCTTTAATGAGTTACTTTATCTCTAACTCACTGAGGAGATAAAATAACTCAGTGGAGATGAGATGCGGTTGACAGGTTTCATAAGTGTGTTCAAAATGCAGGGAGGAGAAAAGCTTCCCCAGGAAAAAAAAGTTCCTGCACCCAAAGAGAAGGATGGAGCAAAACAAATAAAAAATGAATGAACTAAAGCGACAGAGAGTGAATATGTATGTGGAAGGTGAAGGAAAGTTACAGCTTAAGTAACAGTAGAGCTAAACAAACACTCAATAAAGGTTGGGTTGAAAGTAAAAGTGGGCTGAACTACTAGAGAGAAAATCTCACTTAATAGTAAAGTTAGACTCAATGGATTAAAAAGATATTTTAAGTTTTTTCTTCTTTTTAGCATTTTAATTCTATTTATCTTAATGGTTTAGTTAAACAATTGTACAATTAAGAGAGGAGAAGAGGATGGGGAAAAAATCAGAATCAAGTGAGGACCTCTTGCTAAATGGCTAATTTAGGAGTATTATTGATATTAGCTGTAAAAGTAGGAAATTAGCCCTGATTTTCTGTCTGTTAAAATTACCCCTGTCGATTTATTGTTGTAAGTGATTTATTAGTTGCTCTAGATGTCCGGCCTGTTTTAATAACAGTGTGATTTTTTTTTTTTTTCCCAGGGTTTCTTCCTGACTGTGTCTTTGGAGTCCATCCTGAAAGTGGCAAAGCACGCTTCTGAAAAGAACAAGCTATTCTGCATGAACCTTTCTGCACCTTTCATCTGCCAGTTCTTCAAGGACAACCTCATGCAGGTTATGCCTTACATCGACGTGTTATTCGGCAATGAATCGGTAAGACAGTGATTACCACATATTGATCTGTTGTGCTTGATGTAAATCAGAATCATGATTGTGATATATTTGCTTATTCAGGAGGCAGCAGCCTTTGCGAAGGAGCAGGACTTTGAGGTGAGTGGACTTTCTTCTGTGTTGTTCTTGTTTTTTGTGCATCCATTAACATGTTCTGTTAATGTTAAGTTTTCTTTTACTTTTTTTCCGCCCCAGACTAAAGACATTAAGGAGATTGCCAAGAAAGCCCAGGTGTTACCCAAAGTTAACACAAAGAGACAGAGAATTGTTGTATTTACCCAGGGAAAGGATGAAACTATCATGGCCCTCAGTAAGAGATTCTTTCTCTTCATGTTTTTGTCTTTAATCTCTATTTTCATGCTCCCAGACTGAAGTCTTGTCTGCTTAGGTGATAAGATTGAGACATTCCCTGTCCTCAAGATTGACCCAAAGGACATTGTTGACACAAATGGTGCAGGCGACGCTTTTGTCGGAGGTAAGAATATTTGACTTTGTGCATCTCTTGTTTTACCTCTCCAGTCATGGTAACGTTGTCCTCTGGGTGTTGCAGGCTTCCTGTCTGGACTTGTCCAGGAGAAGCCTCTGGATCAGTGCGTCCGGGCAGCACATTACTCTGCTAACGTCATCATCAGACGAGCAGGTTGCACCTTCCCAGAAAAGCCTGACTTCAAATGAGGAACGCCGCAAAGCTCTTCCTTAAGCCTGAAAACCTCGTAACCCACACTGCCTCTGCTCTTCAGATCCCCATTGTTTTTTTTTTGTTGTTTTTTTTTGTTTTTTTTTAATTGGTCACCAAATGTCAGTTCTTTTTAAAGCGTCTGCATATCTTTACTTGCCTGTCGATGTCTTGTCTGTCTCCATTTTGTCCTCAAGAGGTCAGCAGAGGACCATTCAGCCAAGATCAGAGGGGGGGGGGGCGGTTTGTACTTGTTGACAATTAAGAAAATAGGGTTGCGAGTTTCTAGTTTGCTTTATGCAAAAAATCCAACACCTTTTTCCTGTTGGAGTTCCTCCTCCTCTGGCTGCGCAGACGCCTCACAGACGTCGCTACAAGCGCTCTCATCTCGCCTCTCGCTTCTGCAGTGGCTTTCAGAGACCGACTTCAAGCACAAACGAGGACTACAGAGCAAAACATCACTGTCACGACGGGTTTTTTGAAGATATAGCTGTGAAACTTTCAGCAAGAATTTTAGATCAGTGTTTTATCTGCTTTGAGGAGTTGGAAAAACCAAATGTCTTTATTTTTAATGCACAATTTTTAGTGGCCACAAAGCTTCCACCTCAGCTCATCCTGTTTAAACGGGTCAGTTTGACGTGTTTTAGGTGAGCTGTGGGCCTTTTTTTTCTTCTTCTTCTTTTAGTCCTGGCTCTGAAATTACTACACATGGTGCTGATTGGATGAGGATAATTCTGGTCCTGGACTGTGAACCAGAATTAATAGTTTTGGTAAAGTAATAGTGAGTTTAACGTGAAAAGCATCTGCAGGAGCGAAATGTCTCCATGCCCTGAGGGAAATACTTAAACTGGCTGAAACGGTTTCATTCTACTTATTACAGATATAAATTTAGAGCATTTATCATTACATTAATTTCTTAAAATTATCCCTGAACATTTGGATTCACATCAGAGTGTGTATTATGAAAGGTTGAATCCTTGTTAAAACCTCTGAAAACAAACCGTACTGAACTAAATCATTTTTATTTTTGTCTTTGTTATGAAGTGATGTTTAAATCAGGCAGCACTCCATCTGATGGAACAAGGCCTCAAAGTTTCACATGTCTCAAGAAAATAGCCTCATTTTGTTCATAGGAAAAATACAAAACAAATCATTTCAACGGACCACTTTGTGCTTTAATGATGATTTCTTTCTTTCTGTCAAAGAACAGAATCACCACAGCATGATGCCACCTCCATCGTGTGCCATTACGGCCATGGTGTGCTCAGTGTTAACATCTTTAATTTATACATTTACACCGTTTAATTATTTAAATTATAAATACTTTAGAATTTTCTTTTTCTTATTAAAAAAATTGAACCTCCACAACCTGACCTTGACTCAGCTTAATCAGTTTTACATGTGATTACTTGGTGACTTTCTAATCGGTATTTTGATACTTCTGGGCATTTTTTTTCAACCATTTGACTTAAGTGAGAAAAACAAAAGATAACCTGAAGTTGTTAAACCTGCTTTACAGCACTGGTATTTATGTTCATGTGGAGCTAAGCTTAAAATACTCCTGTATCTGGTAAATGTAAACGGTATTTCAAAAAGGTTGGAGTTGTTGGAAGTTGTCTCAGCAGGCATTGAAATGAACACCGACTGTTCATTTATTTTCTTAAATCAGGATCAGGAGAATGGAAAATGTATGTTTTTTAATCAAGTTTGATACTTTTGTCAGAGGTAAAACCTCTGCTTTAAAAAAAAAAAAAAAAAAGATGAGGAAATGTTTGGAAGAAAACCACAGGGTAACTTTAATTGTTATAGGGCCAAACAGCTTAAAAAATCTACTTGTATTAGATTATGTCATGTTGAGAAAATTCAAATTGAACAGCTCTACTGACAAAGTTAATAAAAAATTCTTTAGAAAAGTGTGCAGTTTCAGAGTAATGGAGAAGGTGTTTCAAAACGTGCCTGCTGGGAATGTTTCTCCATTTGAGGCTTCACCATGTCCAGATACACCAAAAAAGCCTTATGTGACCTTTTCTTTCTGGTCTCAAAGCGATGCTCAAGTTGTCCATAACAGTCGCAGACTGTGATGTTTGAAAAAGAATAATAAAATTCAGTTTAATTATGCCAATTTCATTTGAACTTGTTTATTTATGGCTTTTTAGTAGAAACGCGGATTAAGTAAAAAATTGGGGTCACTAATCTTTATTAATACACAAATAAACATCAAAATACTGTAAGAACAAGCAATTAGTTTGTAAAAGCACCTAATCTTAAAGTATGTTTTAGCTGAGGCCACTTTTAACTATCTGTCCATTGCACTGCAGATTCTGATCTTTCATGAAACACCTGTAAGCTATAATAGCAGAAAATTGTTGCGTCTTTTGTTCTAAAAATGATTTTGTGCTGTATTTACTGCATGCTTAGCTTTGTTTATATGTTGATCCCAGACATGTTTCTGCAAGGAAGCAGTTTTAAATAACTCTCCTTGTTTGTTTGTTTATGATTACTTGAATTTTGGTTGTATTAGAAAGGAAGCTGGTCTCTGCCAAAGCTAAGTTATACATTTTTAAGTACATTACCAATAAAACAAAATGTCTTCATATGGAAAACACCATAATGTTAAACTAAAAAGTGGACAGTAGTTCCATTCACAATATAAAGGCTACATTTATAAAAAGTAAATGTTAGATGAAATGTGTAACTAAGATATAACCGTGATGACTTGATATGGGAAAGAAAAACAAGGTGAAACTTAAATGCATTTACATGATTCCGAAAACCAAACCAAACAACAACAAAAAAACACAAGAGTATTAATGATTTGCTTTGATTTAATATTGTCTGGTCTCAAAGCAACACGTCCACTGACACAAGCAGAGCTCAGATGTCTAATATAGCCTGAGGTCAGTATGAAAATACACAACCTGATGATAAAGTTCAGATCTCTCTACAAAGCTGCCCAGACGACTGAGAACTTGGACGTGTGGCTTAAACGCGTTTTAGTTTGAGCGTGTACTGCAGTGCGTTTGTCATCAGTGAGTGTATGATTACTGAGTTATAAAAGGAACGAAGCTGCAGAAGAAGAAGTGAGAACTGAAGGAGACATGTTTTTACTGCAATAAACCGAGGTAAGCCTGAGCGATTTATATTGGAAACACATTGGACAGGGCTGGCTTTAGGGTTTTTTTGTCATGTCTGGCTAAGTTTATTACACACTGACTTGTACAGAATGTACTGAAAGATGGTGGTCATTGTATTTGTATGTCTGTACAGTATGTCTCTTAGTGATCCCCCGTATGAACCTCCCTCCGTCTCTGAACTACAGGAGTTCTTGCTGGCAGACAGACGCCCAACTGGTCACGTCAATCAAGTCTGGCCAAATGTTTACATAGGCAACGAGTAGGCTGACACCCATTAACATGCATGGACGTGTGTAAAGTAACATCCTGCATCCTTACTGCAGACGTGAACCTGTGATCGTGTTTCAGGGCGGCAGCACGTGACAAAGGAGCTCTTCATAGTCTGGGTATTACGCACATCGTAAATGCCGCTCATGGGCCCCCAGCCCCCGGCAATGGTCCCTGCTTTTATGTCAACACTGGCCCACGCTTCTACAGAGACATGAACGTGGATTATTATGGGGTGGAGGCTGATGACGCAACAAACTTCATCCTCAGTCCTTACTTCTATCCAACAGCGCGATACATCAGAGCTGCGCTGGCAATGGGAGGCAAGTCAACATACTGAGAGCTACACAGTGTGTAAAACCCAGCTTGCTTTATTTCAGTGCTTGTTTCACAAACACAGTCAACCAAGTAATCGATTGGTTAGTGAGTAAATGTAAAAATAATCTGGTTGCATATGTGTTCAAACCTTTAAACGAACACTTTATTGAAACACTGTAAGGTCCTTAATCCAACGCCAACAGAGGACCAAAAGCTTCTGATTGAACAAACGCCAGGACAACGGTAAAAAGTTCCATACATGCACTACACCACTTTGGTCTATCCAAAGTTCAGTACAAGCAACTACCAGACTGAGATTTGGAGAGTTGGAAAAAATCCTACACAGGTAGACCAAATGCAAACAAACATTGTTGGTCATACTTTAAGGTCGCGTACATTCATGCAACAACCTTTTTTGTTTTTCTAATTTCTCCTCAAACACATTTGTTTTCAGTTAAACTGAATAGGATAAATATCACAGAAGCTGGAAAAAGTTTTGAAATAATGTTCGTGGTCTAATTTTTTACAAACCTGCCATTTCAGTTTGGGTTTTCTACACGTCTCAGATCCTACATTGCTGATGTTTATGTGTACATATGAACAAGTTGAAGGTAATAATTAACATGTGTGTCCCAGGAAGGGTGTTTGTACACTGTCTGATGGGAGTGAGTCGTTCTGCAACGCTAGTGTTGGCCTTCCTGATGATCACTGAGGGCCTGCGGCTGCAGGAGGCTGTGGCCGCTGTAAGGCCACACAGAGACATCTGCCCCAACCCAGGCTTCCTGCTGCAGCTGCGTTGCCTTGACATGAGCCTAGAGAGGGAGAGGAGAAGAAAAAGACAGGCCCAGGCATTGTAAAAGCACACTCATACACAAATTGAGAAATCAGCATTAACCCATTAACCCACCAGGGCAAGACACGCATCTGTGTTGCTCCAGAGGTCATTTAGCCGAGCAGGGAGAAACACCATCCCTGACAGAGCTGAGGGAAATTCTCTGGACCAACAGGAAGCTTGTGGGCTCTGTCAATGAAGTGTGGCCAAAACTCTACATTGGAGATGAGTGAGTAGTTAAGTCTTTCGTAATGTGGGAGAAATACATAGAGTAAAACACTTTGTGTGTGACTTGTGTCTGAAGGTCTGTTGCTCGAGATAAAACCAGACTGTCGTCTCTGGGTGTTACTCATGTGCTGAACGCTGCAGCAGGTCAACATCGGATCAACACCGGTCAGACGTTTTACACTGATATTGAAGTCGTGTACCATGGCGTTGAGGCTGCAGACCATCCAGAGTTCAATCTCCAGCCATTTTTCAACTCTGCTGCACAGTTCATAGACAGCGCCCTGAAGGAAAATGGTCAGTGAGACAATCCATCACAATCCATTCAAATAGCTGGACATTTGTAATAAAAATAAAAATTGGTGGACTCAGCCAGAAAACAGACAATGAGTTGAATCTTTCAAATAATGACCCCAAACATTTGACCGATCACCACAAGATGTCGTTAACAAGTCACAAAACCTTCTAAAACCCGATGAAAATATTTATGCATCTTTACTGGGAGCAAGAATAAGTATGGAAAAGACTATGCATGCTGCCTAAATAAAGAAATATTTATATTTCCTGATTCTTAAAATCACAAATAATATCTTTGTGTACAGCAAACATGCTATTCTTACTGTAAACGAGTATACTAAATAAAGTTTCTTTCAGGGAAAGTTCTTGTTCACTGTGCCATGGGTGTGAGCCGCTCTGGCGCGTTGGTTTTGGCCTATCTGATGATCCACCAGGGCCTGACGCTAGCGGAGGCCATCGTGGCTGTACGTCTGTGCCGAGACATCGGACCCAACTCTGGATTTCTGGAGCAACTCAGAAAGCTGGAGTTGAGCCTTCATACACAGAGCAGACAGACCGCTGAGGACAGTAGCCAGTGTTGTGGTACTCGAAGTTGGTCTTGGTCTTAAGACTGGTCTTAAGACCGTTTTCTGATGGTCT